TTCTGATAGCCTTTCATTCTTGTTATATCTCTTAAATGTGTCCATCCTTTTTTTTTCCTGATCGTTAAAAGGAGTTTCTCTGTCGTTTATATTCTGCTTAAAATTTCTGTATTTTCCTCGCTTGCTCTGTCCATGATACAATCAATATTCCTCACTAGATACGAATCTAGATCGCCTCAAAACTTTGACGTAAATATCCGGCTTGAAGTTCTGTATTGGCGATGAGGTATAACATTCCAACAGAACATTTATACGAGGAAATATGAACCAATTTATTAATTATTTGCTATTCATTATTATTATTATTATTAATGTTATTATTATTATTATTAATAATAATAATATTATATTTATTATTATTATTATTATTATTATTAATATTATTATTATTATTTTTATTTTCTTTGATTTCTGGCGTTTACACATTTCTTTCCGGGTCCCCCAGGACCTAAGGTTAGAAATGGCGTCATGACACTTTCCACTGACAAAAAAAAAAAAAAAAAGATTACATAGATAAAGCCCATCGTAAGGTGTGGGCTGTACTTGTGAGAACAATTTTCTGTATCTCCTTGAGGCATGGACTTCCAGGAATCCCTTCAATTAGTCTACTGGAATCTTTTTCAACCAGTCCTAGGGCTCCAACTACAACAGGGATTGTTGATGTTCCCATATGCCACATTTTCGCGATATTATTATTATTATTATTATTAATATTAATATTATTATTATTATTTCCTTAGGTTTCTGCTTATATACACATTTCTTTCCCAACTAGGGACCTAAGATTAGAAATTTCTTCATAACATTTTCCACCGATAAGAAAAAAAAAGACGAAAGAAAAAAATTAAAATAAGTCACATTTTACAGAAATAAATCTCTTCGTAAGTTGTGATCAGGTACTTGGGAGTACAATTTGTTGTATTTCTTTAAGGCATGAGGTACCAAGAATTCCTTCAATGAGTCTATCGGAAACTTTTCCAATCAATCCGGAGCTCCAACTACAACTGGAATTAATGATGTCCACATTTTTGAGTTTTGCACTTCAAGATCCTTGTATTTTCATAGTTCTTGCAAGATATATTACAATCTGCAGGGACTGCCATTTCAATTTTGGAACGTCTACGATCTTCGTCTCAATTTTGCTGGTGTTCCTATCGCACCCATTACTATAGAATTATTATTATTATTATTTCCTTTTTATTTCTGTTGGATACACATTTCCGTCTGGGTCCCAGCTAGGGACCTAATGTCAGAAATGGCTTCATGACATTTCCCACTGATAATTTTTGTTAAAGAAAAAGCAAAACTAAGATCACACACATTTTACATCGATTATTATTATTATTATTATTATTTTATTATTATTATTATTATTATTATTATTATTATTATTATTATTTTATTATTATTATTATTATTAAATTTACAAAGTTGAGGTTTTGCATGTATTTGTACAGTTTGTTAATTTGCTTATTATTTATTTACTTAATTTGTAATTGTATATTGTCTTATTTATTTATTTATTTTATTTTGGTGATGGTTATATTGTTGGTTTGTCTAGTTAAATTATTGGCTCTGTGTAAAGCAGTTTTTTAATCTTTTCGCCTCTATGAAGGCAAAAAACTCACTGGGACACAGGTTACTGAGTGTTAGTGAATATGAGAAAAAAAACTACCCTTGAGGAGTGATGACAATAAAAGAATAAGAATAAAGAATGCAGAAAGTAAAAACTGTCATTGCATTTCAATGTTTGAAGATCAAATTTGACTGGGAAGCAAGAAGCCGCAAAAGAGTCCCGCATGCGTTGTATAAAGTGCATATGTCTGCCTTTTTATCGGTGATGTTTTAGAAGGTATTCAGTTTTAGCTTTTGATTTGTAAATAACGTAGTAAAAGCCTGTTTTCGTCTCTGCATTTTGAAATGAGTCCAAATCTTTTATTTAGTAATTTGTGTTGGCCTGGGGAATTTATTATAACTTTGTGTGAGGTTGGTTATCTTATTCGCGTGTCTTGTTTGAACTGTTGGCGTTGTTGATGGTATATTGCATTATCTCCCTTGTATATAGTGCATATATCTGGGTTTTTTTATTTGTGATACTATTCGTTTTTAGTATATACATGGTATTCTTTTTTAGTTTTTGATTTTTAAATAACAGAATAAAAAACTGTTTTCGTTTCTGTATTTTAGTAATGAATTCTGATCTTTTATTTGTTTTGATCTGTGAAGGTGATTATAGCTATTTTCTCCTACAGCAGAAAAAGTTTACAGTTTTCTGATTTATTTTGTATACCGGTTCAATTTTTCCGATTTCCGATGAATATTTTTGGTGTATTTTTTTCTTAGTGTTTACGTTTCCATATATGTTTAGAAAGGGTTGTGCTGTTGTGTATTTACTATTGGTAAAGACTTTTTTTCTATGCTTAGTTGGTGTGTCCACTGTCCTTCAATGACTCCCATGTATATTTTTTCTTCCTTACCTGCTGTTTGTACAATGTCTTGGCATACTCTATTGCCGTTTGTAAAGGACATATATGCTTTTTCTGTAGTTGCAGATGGATTTTTATATGAATACTTTGTTGGTTATATTTCTGTTACGTTTTTTTAATTATTTGTGTCATGTTCACGGTGCAACTATAGCTAATTTTTACTGTGTTTCTGTTGAACCTCTTATGGAGACTACATGATGGCGTTGAAAAAGTGTTTAAGGATGAGTTTAATGAATATTTTTTCCTACGTTTTCATTTGATGTTCGGTGAGTTGAACAATATGATGTTTATTTTGCTGTTGGAATTTTTGTACTGGGTGAAGATGTATACGAGTGTTGCCGAAAATCCACGTCCTGGGTAAGACGACAAACTACATCCGCGTCCTGGGTAAGACGAAAAAATACAACCGACAGAAAGGCCTCTGATCCGGAGGTTTTTCGGAGCATGGAACTACCTCTTAATTGCTGGTGTTCCCAGGTCCATCCTGACCCAGGGTGACAGCACCTGTTAGGGTCACAGCTATCAACAAATAGTTAACCCCGAAAAGTCAATACACCACGAAACTATAAAAATAGTTTTTAATACTAGCAATTTTTTAAAAAATTATTGCCAGCAGTATATTCTTGAAAAAATATTACCAGTAATAAGAAAAAATTGTCGGCATTAAATAACTCATTAAGGTAGATATAGGTAAAACATACCAAATCAAACCAAGCCTTATTGTTGGATGGAGTTTATCGTGATACTCAGGACGGCACTGATGATGAGCAGAAAAAGATGCATTACAACCACAACAATCTATTAAGCATAAGAAAAATACGAAAATGCAACAGGTTGATATGTTGTAAAACAAACCAAATCAAACGGAAAATCCACTACATTCTAAGGTTATTTCATAATCTTTTTTGACTTCGTTGAAAATAATTTTGGGAAAAGAACTGTCAGATAATCCACGGCTAACTGCTTATGGAATCAGCTTTATTATTATTGGCTGGTGATTGGAAGATATATGTATGCAAAAAGGTTTATAGCTCGGATTTCTATATGGCTAATACGTACCTTTTCTTAGGTTGTGTTTGACGTCTAGGTTTTTTGACTGATTGATTTTTATCATGGTTATCAAATTTTTGTAGGTTATTTAAATACGAAACATATATTTCAATTAAGACAATTCTTTTTTGGCAGGGTTATTATTGTATTAATAATTTTTGAATATAAAAATGATTTTCAGTCCGATTATTCTGTCCACAGCGGGGGAGGGGAGGGATAAAAAGAACACATCAAGTTTACAACAAATGGTGCACTCAATGGGTCACCCATCTAGATACTCTTCGATGTTGCTTAACTCCAGTGATTGAACGAGACGCTGTGTTTCAACATGATGTGGCCGTAATCCAGTTACGTCGTGGAATCTACATCTTTTTATATTATATATATATTATATATATATATATATATATATATATATATATATATATATATATATATATATATATATATATATATATATATATATATATATATATATATATATATATATATATATATATATATATATATATATAAAAGACATTTTTTATATATATAAAGACATATAAAGACATTTTATGTTTATCATTCTTAATTATAGATACAAATATTTAAGTAAATGCTCTGTTTAAAATAAACAGTATTAAACAGCATTTACCGGCCTGAATGTCCGAGAAAATTTTATGGAAAATATTCGTATATATCGATTTAAAAAAAAAAGAATGTATAAACATAAAAGTGTCTTAAAATAATTGTCGGACTTTGTCCATTTCATAATGTGTGACGTCATTTGTTTATATTTGGATACGCTTTGAGCAGATATGAATGTACGTGAGAGAATCATGGAAGATTGTAGTTTAAAGACAGTAAAATCGACCTTGCTAACAGAACGCTCCTCTGTGGCCCAATCGGTTAAAGGCACGTCAGGTTATATGACGGTTCCGTATAGGATACAGGTTTGATTCCTGTCGGAGGACGAATATTTTCTATGAAAATTTCTCGGTCATTCAGTTTAATACAGAGCATTTACTTAAATATTTGTATCTATAAAAAATGTATAAACATAAAAATGTCTTTCTTTATATATATATATATATATATATATATATATATATATATACTCAGTTGCAGAATCTGAAGAATACGTGATCAACAATTGAAGAAGGCCAGTGCCTTCGAAGCCAGATTACTTATGACATTGTGCCTGTGCAACCATCGATGGATTCCGAACAGTTGCGTCCAGCCAATTTCATTCAAAAATCTTGGGTCATCCCGTCGTTTGTTTATCAGTCGTTCCGCAACTGGTGCCGCATGCTGGGTTTGTCTCCTCAGCTTGAAATGATCATGAAGAGAATCGAAACCCGATCTCATAATCTGAATGCTAACTTTTCAAACATTTGGCGATGTGTCCAAAAGGGAGTGAAAGGAAGATAACTCTATCATTGTAAAAAGTTACAGACAAAAGATCTAGAAATAGACGTGGCTATGTTATATGTAAGGGTCGTGATTGTCTTGCAAGAAGACAAACGGCCAGGCTTAAAACTAATTTGAATATTTCAATCTACACTAATCACGGGCCAAATTTGAAGAGGATGTCCAATTTAAATACAAAAGAAGAAAGGAAAATAGTATCGTTTCTTTTTATATATATATATATATATATATATATATATATATATATATATATATGCAAAAAGGAAATGCTTCATTTTCTAAGATGTTGGCTTGTATCAAATGCAATAATACAGACAGTGTTTTAAAGTTTGGGTAATCGATAAAGATCGGATTTGAACTGATTCCAGAGTTTATATAGCATTTCCGTCTGTCTGTCTCTTTCTCTCTCCTCCCCTTTCTTTCCCTTCGCTCTCTTTCTCTCTCTCTCTCTCTCTCTCTCTCTCTCTCTCTCTCTCTCTCTCTCTGATTTTTCAAGCAGCACATATAGAAACGCGGCGGAGGCCACGAATTTCGCCGAAATTTGGGAGGGGAAAATTAATAAAGGGGCAAAAGCAGCGAGTGGCATGAGGGTACGCTTTTCAGTGTTCTTGGTAAATGTAAGGGTTTGGGAAAGAGAAAAAAAAGGGCAGTTATCCACGCTAGCGCCAAATATATTAAGCCATTTCCTATTGTTAGTCCGCTTCCACTCCCAACGCCACTCCTACGCTCGCTTGCTTTTATTTTGCTTTCGGTGCATTTTTTTTTTTTTTTTTTTGAAAGGGTGCCAAATAGATCGCGAGCCATTCAATTAGAAACACAGGGTCAATGCACATCATCCCAATTGCCTCTTTCTTGCCTTCCACACGCGTCGGGGGTACTGTTGTAATAAGACCAAATCGAAACGCTACCCAACTGAAAGTGAATTAGCAGAATAGATTCGATGATGGGACGTCACGTGCGGAGGGCAAGATTTCACCCCCCCACACACACACACGAACATTTTCTGATCCTCAGAGGATAGTATTCGCATTATTTGTCTCTCTCTCTCTCTCTCTCTCTCTCTCTCTATCTATCTATCTATCTATCTATCTATATATTTACACACACATTTATACATATATATATATATATATATATATATATATAGGGTGTCCATAAAGTTCGTGTGCACTTTAAAAAATATAACATAATTTGTATTTGCGATAAAAATAATCTGTAAAAAATGTTATAAAGTTTAATGTACCTAGTTTTAAGTATAGCTAAAATAACGAATGTGATTTCATCCATTACTGTAAATCAGTTGGCAAATGTTTTCCGTGAACTGCAAAATCGTATTACCCTTTGTATTGCTAATGATGGAGGACATGTGGAAACTTAAATAAAATTTCAATAAACCTTAAAAAATATAGATTTACTATATAGATTTCTAATTTTTTTTTACAAATTATTTCTATCGCAAATACAAATAAAGTTATTAATTTTTTTAAAGTGCACACGAACTCTGTGGACATCATATATATATATATATATATATATATATATATATATATATATATATATATATATATATATATATATATATATATATAAATGGAAAAGGTTATAATAGTTCCAACGAGAGAAAAGTGTGTATATTAAAAGGAAGGAGGAACCGCAAACGTTTTTTGTTGTACTGTTGATTTTAAAAAATATTATGCTTTATTTACATTATATATATATATATATATATATATATATATATATATATATGAATATTTTAAAATGATATATAAATTCATATATACAAGAACAGTTTTAAGAAAATCTATGACAATGTTGAAAACACTTTTTGTTTGACGCGTTTCGGTCTTAATGTAACTACACATGCACATAAAGTCGAGCGGGGTTGAAACACGACTGCAATTGAATGGCAATTCTTACAGGATTCGTTGTGATATCATTATATATATATATATATATATATATATATATATATATATATATATATATATATATATATTTCCTCGCATTTATGTATATGCCTGTGGTGGGGTTTGTGTAAAATTATGATAGGTAAAAATTATTATTATTTATATTTATTTTAAATTTTTGAAAAAAATATAAATAAATATAAATAATTTTACACAAACCCCACCACACGCATATACATACATGAGGAAATATTTTTCAGCGGGAAAATACATAATATGACATATATATATATATATATATATATATATATATATATATAAAGGAAAAAAGACAATAGGAAAACTAGTTTTAGCCGACGCATTTCATCCAATGTGGACTTTTTCAAGGCAAAAAACGAAATGAATTTATTGACACAAACAAATTTATTGAAACGTCGTCACGTCCACTATCCAGAACAGTCTACCCCATCTAAATAATCTTAAAATAATCACAAAAACTTTCAAAACTATTATGGATATAATCAAATACCCATAGAAATTACATTTCTGAAGCAGGTATATATAAAATATGTTGCCAAAACTGTTCCCCACCACAATACTTTGGAGAAACATGCAGAATTTTTTTTTTTAAAAGTGCATCTATGAGCACAAAAGTGACCTCACAAATAACAATTTAATAAATGCACGAGTCATTCATAGAAATAAATTTAACCACAATTTTCGTTTTGTAAATTCTACACTCATCAAAAAGAAAATAATTCATTTAAAAGGAAAATCCTCGAGAGTGCCGCCATTGAATATTATTCAAATATTAATCTCCGCTCAAGTTTTCCCCCATATCACCTTTTCTGATAGAATTACTACTCTCCGAAGCCAACATACATAAAAAATATATCAATAATTCAAAAGAAAACAGATGAATCCGTCTACACAACAATACAAGCAATATTTCTAGAAGTGAAAATATTATCTTTTAACAAAGTAATTGACGTAATTTTATTATTCGGCATTCCTTTCAATAATGACTCTGCATTATCTGTCTCGTCTATTACGAAAAATAACATTTCTTTATTCAATCCGTCTAAAGTAAATGTCACCGAATTTTCTAATCTTTCTAATCCTAATAAATTCATCCTTCATCTACAGTCAATGATTCTAAGAGACTCCGTGTCCTCATCAATGCTAAGTTGATCGAGGGTGATGTCTCAACTGCAGTTAGAGTATTGGCCTCAGCTGATACTATACTTGCTACTACACCAGAAGTCCTCACAACTCTCTGTTGGAAACATTCTACGCCACCATCAGATGTCAGATTTGTTCAGATGGAAAACGATGATTCAAATATTGAAATCTCAAAGGAAGCGATGGTTGCCGCTCTGAAATCTGTCTCGGGAAGCAGCAGCGGAAGTGTGGACGACCTTCGACCTGGTCACATCAAGGACTTAATTTCTGCCCACACTGTCGAAGCAGACGAACATTTGAAAAGATCCATAACAGCTCTTATTAATAAACTTCTCCGATCTGAGATACCCCAACATGTTCGCGACTTAATATTTTCAGTCAACTTAACGGCTTAAAAAAAAAAGACGGAAGTGTCGGCCCTATCGCTGTTGGTTACATTTTTCGTCGTCTCGCGGCAAAAATTGCTTGTAGAGTTGTTTTGAAGGAGATAGGGCATGAATTGCGACCTCTCCAGCTCGGGGTAGACATACAGGCCGGATGTGAAGTCGCAGTTCATGACACATGATCATTTTTCGAGAATACATTACCTGTTTCCCTACATATCTAATTAAAATTGGATATGAAAAACGCTTCCAAAAGCATCAGAAGGAATCATGCCCTAGAAGTAGCCATCAATGGGCTCCTTCCATATTGCAACTGGTTCAATTTGCGTATAGTCATCCGAGTATGTTGATGGCCTCTGATAATATTATCTCTTCTGCTACCGGAATCCAGCAAAGTGATCCACTTGGTTCGCTACTATTTGCGATGACTGTTGACGGGGTGGCTCGTTTCATTGCCTCTCCTTTTTACATATGGTATCTTGACGATGCAACGCTGGGAGGATCCGTCGAGGCCGTGACTTCATCTCTGCTTTATCTCTCCTTTAACCGTGAGATTAACTCGTCCAAGCCAGAGACAATAAACTTGAATTATAGTGCATACGATTTCATAAGTGCTATCTGGGATATTAGACACATCCTTGGCGGTTATTGGAATTTTGGGGTAGCCTGGTGTACTAGTGAGCTAGCCAAAATCAGCTGACTCATTTTATAGTTCACCAATAGAAGGGTTAATCAATCAGAAAGCTCAAAATATTCAATCCGATTCAATAATGATTACATATATAATGAATAGGATTTATTAGACAAATACGTCAACACTTTCATTCCCTCTAATGATTACTTACATAACGGATAGGATTTATTAAACAAATACGTCAAAACATTCATTCACTCTAATGATTACATATATAACGGATAGGATTTATTAAACAAATACGTCAAAACATTCATTCCCTCTAAGGATTACATATATAACGGATAGGATTTATTAAACAAATACGTCAATACTTTCATTCCCACTGATGATTACATATATAACGGATAGGATTTATTTAAAAAATACGTCAAAACATTCATTCCCTCTAATGATTGATTATATAACGGATAGGATTTATTAAACAAATACGTCGAAACTTTTATCCCTCTAATGATTACATATATAAAGGATAGGATTTATTAGACAAATACGTCAACACTTTCATTCACTCTAATGATTACATATATAATGGACAGGATTTATTAGACAAATACGTCAACACTTTTATTCCCTCTGATGATTACATATATAACGGATAGTATTTATTTAAAAAATACGTCTAAACATTCATTCCCTCTAACGATTACATATATAACGGATAGGATTTATTAAACAAATACGTCAAAACATTCATTCCCTCTAATGATTACATATATAAAGGATAGGATTTATTAGACAAATACGTCAACACTTTCATTCCCTCTGATGATTACATATATATCGGATAGGATTTATTAAACAAATACATCAAAACTTTCATTCCCTCTAATGATTACATATATAACGGATAGGATTTATTAAACAAATACGTCAAAACATTCATTCCCTCTAATGATTACATATATAACGGATAGGATTTATTAAACAAATGCGTCAAAACATTCATTCCCTCTAATGATTACATATATAACGGATAGGATTTATTAAATAAATACGTCAAAACATTCATTCCCTCTAATGATTACATATATAACGGATAGGATTTATTGAACAACCATCCAACACATATAGCCTAAATATTGCGTTCGAGTATGATGCAGAATTGTCGCCATACTTTGTAGGACCCTGTCTTCACGCAGAATATATTTATATATACTCAATCCAGTAAATTGGGTACTTTTACCATATAAGTAGAGCATAACTTAAAACCATATATTACACGCACACACATATGTGTGTGTGTGCGCGTGTGTGTGTGAGTGTGTATGTGTTTGTTCAAAACCTAGCAGCGATAGTCTGTTTCATACCAGAACGCAGCCTTCTGTTCATATGCCTGGTGATTTGGTTTGACTATTTCTATATGTTGCTCCGGGGTGCATTATGGGTAGGTCTATTGTATTATCCTAATGGTTATTTGGAGGATTGTAAACGTTATGTTTCAAATTATGCTATCGTCTAGTGAGCATAAAAATTTTGTATCCAAATGCAATTACCTGTAGCTATTTTTTAGTATTGTTTCTCAACCTTTTTCTTATAAATTATTAATTACTTTCTGTTGATTATTATTATTATTATTATTATTATTATTATTATTATTATTATTATTATTTTCTTTGATTTCTGTTCTATGTTTTCGGGTCCCGGCCAGTGATGTAAGTTTAGAAATGTCATCGTGACAATTTCCACTGAGCAGCTTTTGGAAAAGAATTATACATATTTTACATAGATAAATTCCTTTGTAAGGCGTGGACTGTATTTTTGAGAACAGTTTTTTAAATTTTCTTTAAGGCCTTGGGCCACGAGAAATCCCTTCACTGAGTCTATTAGAATCGTTACCCGTCAATCCGAGAAACCCAACTACAACTAGAATGTTGATGTTCTCGTGTACCACATTTTTGAGTTTTCCATTTCAAGGTCCTTGTATTTTGATACTTTTTTGAAGATCTTCAAAGATACATTGCAGTCTTCAGGGACTGCCATGTCAATAAGGAGACACATTTTTTTCTCTAATCACGATGTCACGATTAGTTTTGATTGTTCTCTCTGTGTATTGTAACGTCCCATAAAATTTTAACAGATCCTATCTCCGTATCCAGGTCTAGATGGTGTTCATACCAATTATCTTGCAGTTTCCTTTCCATATAAGCTACAGCTTTTCCAGTGATCCACTCTGTCATGCCGAGTTTTATATTTTAGTGGGTGTCAACACCGTGCAACCGGATACAAGATCGTCAATTGTTTCTGGATATTTATCACAGAATCTGCATTTGAGGCTAACAATTTTCAGTATGTGGTCTTGATAATTCCTAGTTAGCAAGCATTGGTCCTGTGTAACAAGAATAAAACATTCGGTTTCAGCTTTCAACCCTGCACTACATGACCACTGATGGGTGACGGATTTGTCTACATCAGATTTTTGGTAGGAGCAGAGCACTTAGCTGCAGTCGGTGTATTATTTTTTATTTGCGTTTCATCACCCATTTGAAATTCCATTTTAAACTTGTTGGCTTCCTTTATTACTTAATAAAGTTTATTACATATTTCATGTTCGTTGACACAGATCATCATCCAGTCTTCTGTAGTTTCCAGGTATCTTTCAAGGCCAATTGTTGTAGTTGAACTAATCGTCTGCCTCCTTCAGATCTGGGCACATACAGACGATCAACATCAGCCTTGGGATGAAGCATGCTGTGGCATGTGAGAAGCTTTCTAATTTAGGCGTCCATTTCCTTAATGTCAGCTATGGTCCAGGTAAGGATGTTGAAACTGTATTGCACCAGAGGGACAGCCAAGGTATTTATGGCTGATATTCGTTTTTTTTTGGGGGGGGGGTCGGTATTCAGTACCAGACGCACACTCTTTTAGTACACCTTTTTTACTTTCTCCTTCATTTGGGCATGCAGTATTCCATCTCCTTCACTAATACTTCTTCTTCTTCTAGTTCTCTAATCTTTGTGACAAAATCTAAATCTATTCTTTCTGTAATTCTCTCTTTCTTGAATATTAATTTTGCACATTTATCTAATCCGAAATCCATCGACCGTCGGGCACCTATCCGCGGAAGCGATCAAAATGATCACTCCAAGTCTTCGACTAAAAGACGAATCTGTCCGCGTTGCTGTTGTGTATATGACATTATTAACTTCTGTGATGTTTCCCAGTGGTTTGTCCGTTGCTAGTGTTTCCAGGGCTGCGTTGTATATTTTCACAATGTGCTTATTGACTTTGTCATATGAATTTTAGGGAGCTGCTCTCTCTCTCTCTCTCTCTCTCTCTCTCCCTCTCCCTCTCTCTCTCCTTCTCTCTCTCCCTCTCTCCCTCTCCCTCTCTCCCTCTCTCCCTCCCTCTCCCTCTCTCTCTGGCTTACATTATTATGTCTTATATTTAGTTTTATCTTATCTATTTCTTCATTTGAGAGTTTTTTTTTTTTTTGTTTCGCACGATGTCCCTGCGGACATTGGCAAGAATGTTTGGATGGAGATGAAGTCTTATTTCACATCGTACCATACTTCTCCATATTTCGTATGTCTGTTTCGTGATGTTCTTTTCTGGATTTTCAAGTGCGGTGAAGAATGATGTCATGACTTGTTGATATTCTTCGCGAGACCATTTGGAATTAAGTGACTTGATCCAAAGTTGGGAATAACCCAGTATCTCTTCATTTTTCGAAGTGTTTGTTCCAGTGACTATTCCAGACTATTTCCTATCTGAGGTATGAGGTCCTTGTTGACCCGGATGACGGCTGACCCGGTATGAAAATTTGTTCGTAATCACTGACATTCGTAATATTTTGCGTTTTATCCTTACCTGCCAAGGGGTAATTTTGTTCAAGTTACCAGCTCTAGGACGACAGTTGAACAAGACCAGAGAGATCGTACTGCCCATGAAATAGTGGGGATGGCGATTATATTCATATATCCATGGTTAAAGTGTTCATTATTGAGTATTGTATTCAGTGGGGTATTATTATTATTATTATTATTTTTATTATTATTTTATTTCCTTTGATTTCTGGCGTTTACACATTTCTTTTCGGGTCCCGCCCAGGGACCTAAGGTTAGAAATGGCATCATGACATTTTCCACTGGAAAAAAAAATTACATAATTAAAGCCCTTCGTAAAGTGTGGGCTGTACTTGTCAGAACAATTTTTTGTATCTTTTTGAGGCATGGACTTCCAGGAATCCCTTCAATTAGTCTACTGGAGTCTTTTCCAACCAATCCTAGGGCTCCAACTACAATACGGATTGTTGATGTTCCCATGTGCCACATTTTTGAGATTTCGATTTCAAGGACCTTGTATTTTGATAGCTTTTTGAAGATCCTCAAAGAGACATTGCAGTCTGCAGGTACTGCCAATAAGGAGGCACTTTTTTGTTTGCCGTCTCTAATAACAATATCTGGGCGGTTGGCTTTGATTGTTCTGTCAGTGTGTATTGTGTAGTCCCATAGAATTGTAACAGGTCCTATCTCCGTAACCGAGTCTGGGTGGTGTTCATACAAATTTCTTTCAGTTTCAGAAAAAAACACTTGAAATAGCTATAAAATTTATTGAGGGAAAAGAAAAAACAAAGAAAATGAGGGGGAAAAATAGTCTGATGTTAAAGTTCACTGGTACAACCTGAAAATAACTGTCAAAAACGTCCCTTTGGCGAGCCCTTAAAAAGGACTCCAATAACAGTTCAGAGAGAGTGAAAGAGGTAGAGAGATAGCAGAAAGAGGGGAAAAATTAGACTTACTGTTCAAAAAAAAATAGCTTTAGTATTTTTCAAGTAGCTGGGCAGAAAGGTTTTTAGATATTTTTTTTGAGTTACTCTCCTTGGAAGATAAGCAAGCTTCCTGTTAAAAATAAATGCAGACTTGTTTTTTCAAACTTTCTCTGCGACACAAATTCAACTTCTAGAGACGACTTAGAAGATCTTTTTTTCACATATGTCAGAATTTCGTCCACTAATAGGACAAAATAACTCCTCGAAGGAAGGTAGCTTTTCAATCGCTTAATTTTGACTTTTTTCTCTCTTCGACCCGATTGTCGAAAGAAGACTTCCTTGAGAATGTTCTATTGTAAATTCTCTTTACAATAATTTCTTTAACTGATTTTTTAGATAAGTCTTTACTGACTTGTTCTTTGGTTGCTGAACAATAATCCACTTGATTACTGGAACAGACTTGACTTCACTTGTCTAGAGAATAAGCTTTTTCCACACGGCGAACACACATGTTCTTTATCTTCAATTCTCTTAGACAAATATTCTTGACTGGTCTTTTATGACTGTTTTCCTTGTCAGAGCAACAACAGGTTATCTTCAAGCAGGTTTCCTTTTCGTCGCAAGACAAGACGACTTATCGTCTCCACACTGCGGCGCCCTTTTTCTGCTACTGCTGACTAGATTCCTCTAATCTAGTCGAAAACAAGCGGGAAAATCACGTACGACCAATCTTTAGACACGATTTCGCCACGTGACACTGCACACAGGGGGAAAAAGAGAGGAGGAGGGAAAGTAAGAGAGATAGAAAGATAGATACAGAAATTAAATTTCTGACACCTTCTCGTAGAAGTTGCAGATTATTATTATTATTATTATTTACTTGTGCTTATGTGCGCATTTGTTGTCTGTTTTGATTTTGACTTCTTGTATATTTCATGTTATTATTTATTTTTGGCACTTTTTAAAAAACGTAGTAAAAAGTATTTTTGTTGTTGCGTTTTCAAATGAGTTCTGATTGTTTATTTAGTAGTTTTTGTTGGCTTGGGAAGGTAATTATAGCTTTTTGAGTCGATACGCAACACACATGGAGATGGCGTTTAAGCAGGAAACAAACTGTCGCTGCTCATTGATGACTTCAATGTCCACTTATATATTTACATACGCTGTATCCCTGATATTGAGAACACTAACCCATAAATAAAGCATACCTTAAATACACACACATATATATACATTTATATATATATATATATATATATATATATATATATATATATAAAAGTGAACATTTAAGTCAACACTCAGAGGCGGAAGGCTGTTTCAAGCTAGATACAATCGTCGGCGGCCTGACGATTGCGCCTAGCATGAAACATCCTGTCGCCCCTAAGTGTTGACTTCAATGTTCACTTTATATTTTCATTTACAAACGCTCTATTTCTGATATTGAGTACTTCATCCCATAAATATAGCACACTTTAAAACTATCTGTCTTATATATATATATATATATATATATATATATATATATATATATAATATATATATATAGTGGCAAAGTGGAAAACCTTTTTTATTGACAACGCCTTCATATCATATGTAGTTAAGAGTGCCTTATACATATATATATATATATATATATATATATATATATATATATGTATATATATATGTCCGAAAATATATATATATATATATATATATATATATATATATATATATATTTCCGGACATATGAAGACGAATTTCGGGACATATGAAGCAGAAAATTGGGACGGTAGGAACATGGTTCTACAGAAGGATGATGAGGATACCTTGGATTGAAAATGTGAACAACTACAAAATTTTAAAGAAAATAGAAACAAGAAGGACACTTATATATTTAACATCTGAAAAAAAAAACGGATCAAATTTCTAGGGCACATAATTGAGGAAAGAAGGCTTGATACTCACTGGTTATACTGAAAGCAAGAGGGACAGAGAAAAACAGCACAGAACCTACCAAACGAGGACATAGAAAAGGAAGCCACAATGCAACAAGAGTGGAGACCAGAGTAGAATAGGACCTATATGTAAATTAAAATGCATGACGAGATTGCTATCACATCATAATGGCATTCGTAGATATTTTCTTCGTCTTCTCCTTCACAAACGAATTCATTCATTCATATATATATATATATATATATATATATATATATATATATATATATAAAAAAGTCTTTGTGTAGATAAATACAGCAAAGGTACAAATGTAAATGGACAGCAGAACACAGGCTAGGAGAGATACAGAAGAGCCACACTAAAGAGGAAATTGCGGAGAGTCATGATCACCAACGTCTTGAAGAGACAACGGACATAGAAAAGAAAGCTACAATGCAACAAGAGTGGAGACCTGAGTAGAATAGGATCTATATGTAAATTAAAATGCAATACGAGATTGCTATCACATCATAATGGTGTTCGTAGATATTTTCTCTTAGGGACCTCGTCTTCTCCTTCACAAACGAATTCATTCATATATATATATATATATATAACAAAAGTCTTTGTGTAGATAAATACAGCAAAGGTACAAATGTAAAAGACATTGAATACTGTGATTTATCATTTGTAAATCTTATACATGCGTTGCTATTTGCCCTTGTTGTACAAAAGTCTTTTCAATCTAAATATTCGAATCGCGTGCCGTTTTTCGCTCTCTATGAAGAGGCGACGAACAACTGATATCAAGACAAAAGGTTGTCGACAGGAAAAAAAAAAGTAGGGGGAGAATGGAAAAGAAAAGGGGAAAATTTCACTCACGGGTGCATCAATCCAAAAAGAAGTAGGAAATCGATAATTTCACTATTCGTTCCGCTGGTGGTGTGGGTTCTCTACAGGAAACTATAACCATCAAGCAATATTCGTAAGTTGTGCAACGGTTATCAGCATATAAATTGAAGATCCGATTTCAAATTACGCTTTTTCTTGCTGCGTTCGCTTTTGTAAAATTATATTTAGTAAAGGCATGAACCGGCCGTTTCTTTCTCCCTCTATAGGGAAATAGCCGTGTGACATTTTTAATAAATTATATCTTGATAGAGGATCGGAAAAATAACATTCTCATCTATTTATCAAGCATCCATTAGAGACTTCAAAATTTTTCAAAGAATTTCTTCACTGTTTGGTGATACATCTAATTACTAATGTTATTTTGGTTTAAAAGTCGTTTTAAAACTCCAAACTTGCCATTAATCTGAAAATCCATCAGATAAACCTTCAAATCCCAGATCTTTTCACTGCAATTCTCTATCTTGCGTCCTCCGCTATTTCTGATCTTCATCAATGATCTTCCTGATGCCATCAGCTTGCAAGTATGTATCTATGCAGATGACACTACTATTTACTTCTGTCTCAGTAGCAAATCCGTCAAAGTTGACAAAGTAAACCTGGCCGGTGCTATTGAAAAAGACCTTCTATCAATGGTTAATTGGGGCAAGAAATGGCTTGTAAATTTTAATGCCTCTAAAACTAAACTGCTTTCATTTAACCACCATAGATAACCTTTTCTGCCCGCCATCAGCATGACTGACACTAGACTCCTGGAAAGCAACACACTGCGCCTAAAAAACCTTTTTTTTTGTTTTTTGTTTTTTTGTATAGCTTTCCTTTCCTACCTTCGCCCTCCACACAATGCCATC